GCTATAATGTGGACAGTGATTGTGGAAGTGCCCAGTGCAAGTATTATTAGCTTTTAGGAATTGGTTTCTACATGAAATTATGACTTGCTTTTTCTGCCTCTTCGAATGTCGTCAAAAATATTGGATCATAGTTTTATATATTATATTGTATATGTTTGTGTGTTGCTTCTAGCTTAATATTTCATGAGCATATTTTTCCTCAGATATAACAATATTATGCTGAAAATAAGGTTAAGTCTGTTATGCCTTGAATTATCCTGTTCTCTTTTATATTAACTTGCAGCTCTTTCAGCCTCAACGGAGAGATTGTGGCTTGTTTAGTATTATTCGTATATATCAGATTTTTATCAAATATTTTCATAACTTACTGATACTTGATCACAAATCTGTGATGATCCTTACCATTTGCTGCAGTACACTATTTGGATGCCTCAGTCCGAAAAATAATTTACGTTCCACATAAGTTCCTGTATAAGATGCTGGGCATAAAGTTTATATAAGTAATATGTATTTCCTTTTCAAGTTTATGCGAAATTGGCCAAAAAAAAAAGTATTTTATTCATGGATTGGTTAGATTAAATGAACAAATTTCAAACATTGGTTAGATTACATTATATAGTTCTGGGTATTTGTTTATGATGTTTTGTTTTCTTATATTTATGTACAGTATATGGAATTTATACTTGTTTTACATTTATTTTACAGCAATAGAAATTTATTGTATATAATTTGATATAATGTTGCTAGGTAGCAATTGTGAATAATGTACAGGAAATTGTTTTATGAAGATGGTACTGTAATGAGTAGAAACATTAGCATTACTGTACATATATGTAGCACTTTGTAATTTAAGACCAATTCTCCAGTCATAAATTACCTGTAGACATTAAATAATATGCTGTGTAATAAAGCAGAGAGTAAATTATCAGGCAGTAGTGAAGAAAACAGTGAGGGCCAAGCAGGATCCCACTGTGTGTGTCATTTCACCGTTGTGGCTTCTTCAAGGATAGTAGAGAATAGTGGGTACATGGTGGGTCTTGTATAATGGCAGCCAGATTCTGGGATGGAACAATATGTCAGGCAAGGAACACTTGTTGTTAAACAGGTATGTTTACAAGTGGATACAATATAGGTTTCATAATACATATAATGTTCAAGTTTAACTAATCGAGGTCCTTGTTGTGGCCCTTGGTGTGTTTTTTTTACATACAACACCATTTTACAGGAATTAGATTTACAGGGCCTTATCAAATCCACTTATAGTCCAAAAGGTCAAGCCACATTAACTCTTGATATATAGAAACACTGAGCTGGGAACATACTGTAGTGAAGATGAAAAAGTAATTGGAACGGGACTGGGATTGGCTTAATGCCATGCAAAATGTGCACAAGTGAAATATCTAGAAAATAGGAAGATGAATGATAAATTTCCTAACAGAACCCCAGAGTAATAGAATGATACATTTCCTAACAGACCTGAAAGAGTAATAGTCATCAAGGTAAAATATGAATCATGCATCAAGAAAAGCTGTCTCCCAGGGTACTGTACTTACTCCAGTACTCTTCCTCATTCTCGTATCCAACATAAACAAGATCACAGACTATAGTACCGAATCATTTTTCTGATGGTAGAAACTATAAAGCACACGGCAAACCTCCAGACTGATGTAAACCAGGTCTTACAGCGAGGCACAGAAAGCCACATGATGTTCAATGAAAACAACTTCCAGCTCCTGTGCAGTTGAAAAATTAGGAAATCAAAACTAGAACCAGGACTATATACAAATTAAAAGCAATGTTAAAACTTAGGAGTAACCATGCTGTAAGACCGTATTTTTAAAGAATACAATAATGAAGCTGTCACAGCTGTAAGAAAATTGACAGGCTAGATTGGAAAATCCTTTCAAACAAGATATGCCAAACACTAGTGCTATGTAAGGTGGAAAGTTGTTGCATATTAACAGCCCAATTCAGAACTGGAGAAGTTGTTGACCTGAAACCATTCATTAAAACATTTAAATTAATGGGACGGCTATAAATCCCCCAAATTACTGTATATTCTGTTAAGTGCAGGCAAGAGAGATGCATCATCATTTGCCTTTGGGAAATATTAAGAAAATATTACAAAATATTACAAATCTGCACAGTGAAATAATTTCTTACGAGATCAGGAATTATGGCCGAATGTGTAAAGTAGCCCCATTGAAAACTCTGGGCACAATAGATTCTTTTAAAAGACTCGTTCCATAAACATTATAAGTCCAAGCCCTCCCTTTCAATATGAGGGGTTTAACTAGCTGATCTCTTTCGATGTTAAAGATGAAATTATGTAACCACCTCCAAGGAATCTGATCAACCAGGTTGTGTATCTCTTTCTTATATTGGTAAGGCACTTACAAAAGAAACATTTTCTTCTGGAAAACTCTATTACTCTCAACTTGATGTTTCTTAAAATCTTTGTCAGTGCCATAGAAGTTCTTACAGAAAATTACTACAAACACAAAATGCCCTGGAATGCAGTATACCAAATTTAGAAGCAGAAAATGCCACTTTTCACTCTTAAATCCTTTCCTCCACAAGAAAGGAGACTGTCACTCATCTCCACGAGAAGGGTGACTGTCACTCATCTCCACGAGAAGGGCGACTGTCACTCATCTCCAGGAGAAGGGCGACTGTCACTCGTCTCCACGAGAAGGGCGACTGTCACTCGTCTCCACGAGAAGGGCGACTGTCACTCGTCTCCACGAGAAGGGTGACTGTCACTCGTCTCCACGAGAAGGGCGACTGTCACTCGTCTCCACGAGAAGGGTGACTGTCACTCGTCTCCACGAGAAGGGCGACTGTCACTCATCTCCACGAGAAGGGCGACTGTCACTCATCTCCAGGAGAAGGGCGACTGTCACTCGTCTCCACGAGAAGGGTGACTGTCACTCGTCTCCACGAGAAGGGCGACTGTCACTCGTCTCCACGAGAAGGGCGACTGTCACTCGTCTCCACGAGAAGAGCGACTGTCACTCATCTCCAGGAAATATTGCCAGTTATGATTACTTCCTATACATACCTTTATTTTTTCATTTCCCCTTTTTTTTTTTTTTACTTATCACATAACTGTTCAGTACTCACCTATTTGTGCTTGCGGGGGTTGAGCTCTGGCTCTTTGGTCCTTTGGTCCTTTGGTCAGTATGTAACCAGTTATGGGTTAAGAGGCAATTAAGAACAATAGTATCCAAAGCTTATGCACTTACTTAGAATCTAAAATAAATCATAAGAAAATGTTGTACACAGTTTGGCCACTTGGAGCCACCTGACACTTGGTATATCAAGTGATTCCTAATTATTATTTGCAATGAAATAAGTTTTGAAGAAAATTACCTTAATATCATTGTTCTGCACAAAGAAAATTCAATTGTAAATTTGCATTGTTATTTTGTCTACTGTTCTGACTCCAACAGTACAGAGCTATACAAAACAAATACTGTTTTGGGAAAAGGAGTGTTTTAGCGTAATGGTGAATTCAGTCTTTTTGCCATTTAAAATAAATACGAAATTCATTCTTAAATTGGTATTATGTTATTGTATTCTGTGATGCAAAATACATCTGTTGTGGAATTTAAAATTCTGAACCATGCACTTAATTTGCATGGATTCAATTTTTCAAAAGATTTTCCTACATTTCCAATTTATATACAGTATCCAGTATATAAAAAAGGAAATGATTTATAGCAACAACTTATAGGACAAAAAGATATGATAGATTATGCTACAGTAGAAGAATCCAATGAGAAAACACAGCATATACATGTCTAGTCAGTATTGTCAAGGTAAATATAGTAATAAATTTTTTCTTGAGAGGATGTATTATGGGCCAAGATGAGGCTATTATGACAGATTGTAGGCTGCAGGCAACAATCTAATCATAAAATAATCAGCAGACAATAAGGACTGATGATTTAAATACATGCTCACCACACAGTACAGTACAGTATATCCTTTCACGACCAAAGATTACATTCCTTCCAAAAATCTACCACTTATGGGCTATTCATACCTGTGCCACCTTTTGGGTGGCTTAATCATCAATCAATCAATCAATCACCAGACAATATGCTGCAGGAATGAATGCTTCTTTAAAATCATTTATGGGTAGTTTCTGGATATGTTTTAATGGGTATTTCTAATTTGCATGAAATAGTGGAGAGATAAATAGTTCAACTGGTCTTTATAACCAATGAGAAGATATGGCCTTTCTTAAGTATGTAAATAGTTAGGCATTTGGCACCCCCCAGTGTGATTCCAACCCTCCCCAGGGGGTGCTGCAGAAGGTGCGACAACCAGAGGGCATTCCTGATGGGTCACCTACTCAGGAGAAGCTGACACCATCGTCCTGCAGCAAGCCACGCAAGCACAAGACCTCTGACAATGAACACAGCCATGGCTCATTCTTTCTCAGGATTGGTGCCATTGGTAAGTCATTCTCTGGTTTATACTCAGTATTTCCTTTGAGATATATTTATAACAGTACTTATATTGATAACATCAACATTGCGTAGCTTTTAATTTCACTAAAGCACAACAGCGTAAAAAATTTTGATATCAGAGATTCTGCGACTAGCTTTCAGAGGCATTGTTGTATGAAGTATTGGGCGAGGTCAGAAAAGTTTCCAATGGAGCAAGGTAATAAAGATCTCAATAGATAAGACAAATATATAATACAAATGAATTTAATCATTTCATTATTCCATATCGAAAGTCTTTATCTGGCTTCATTTGTGTTTACCAATCTCCATTCTTCCTATATTTGGTGCAACCTGCCAGAGTCAGATTGTCTTGCTATACTGAGTCTAAAAAGCCTTTATATTTTGAGGAGATATTAACGAACATCCAATACCTTATTCTTGCAGCTTTTGGATTGGGTACAATGATCTACAATGGATTAGAATTTGGTGTGTTTTTCGAGATACCCATCACATCACCATGTTATCAGATTCTGCGTGGAGTCAATCCTCTGCTGCAACTAGTGTTCACATTCATGCAGATGTATTTCATCTTCATGAATGCCAGGGTAAGTGTAATGGTTCCTATTAAATGAGTGTAACTCTACTGTATTATCCATACAATATGCACAGGAATATAAAAAGGCAATTATTTTATCGATAGAGACATTCAGGTTTTCTTGAATATACAATAAATTGGTGGACAAAATTGCTTATTTAATTAAATACATATTTTTACCTTTAAGAAATTATGTATATTTTTCAATATGCCATGGTGCTGTTTACAAACTTTCTTACAGTTCTCTGATGCATTGCTTACTGTAGGAATTCCCTTACCTGAAGGCAGGGAAACCATAAAAAAAACTTTATTCTGAACAACATTTGAGCCCTTTTCAATTGTTAAAATCTTTAAATGCATATCTAAACATGCTATGGAAAATTCTGTTTTGTCTGTACCTGTACTTGTCATAATGCAAAGCTGTTGATACTTGATAAGAATGTTGTAATATGATGGTTTTGCTTCACACTCACACACAACTACACTTAAGTACTTACACTTAGGTAATTACATGCACACACACCTGGAGTGTGTACACACACACACACACACACACCATGAGTGCGCTATGATACTTCTAAGATCAACATGCTAAGATACTGGGGAAGATAGGAGATGCAGACAATTGTAATGCCCTTCAAATTGATCTAGATAAAATAAGTGCTTGGAGTGTCAAGTGTCAAATGTAATTCAGTATGAATAAATGTCATGTTATGGAATGTGGAATTGGAAAAAATAGACCACACACAACTTACAAATTATGTGGAAAGGAATTACAGAACTCTAATAAAGAACAAAACCTAGGGGTGGTTTTGGATAGTAAGCTGTCACCAGAGGAACACATAAAAAACATTGTGAGAGGAGCGTATGCATTGCTTTCCATCTTTCCACTTGCTTTTAATTATATGGATGGTAAAATACTAAAGAAACTGTTCATGACTTTTGTAAGACCAAAATTGGAATATGCAGCAGTTGTATGGTGTCCAAATCTCAACAAGCACATCACTAAACTTGAAAAGGTGCAAAGACATTCAACTAAATGGCTTCTGGAACTGAAAGCCATGAGCTATGAAGAAAGGCTAAAGGTGTTTAAATATACCAAAGATAGAAGAAACAGAGGTGATACAATTATTACTACAGTACATATAAAATGGTAACAGGAATCAACAAAATTGACAAAGAAGAATTCTTGAAACCTGCCTTCAAGAATAAGCGGACATAAGCTCAAACCAAGGAAATAAAGCTGCCAAATAAACATTAGAAAACTCTCTTTTGCAAATGAAATAGTAAAGAATTGGAACAAGTTAAGTAAGAAGATGGTGGAGACCAAAACCATCATTAGTTTCAAAGTGTTATATGACAGAGTACTGGGAAGATGGGACACCATGAGCAGTTCTCATCCTGAAGCTACACTTAGGTAATTACACACACACACACACCCATACAAAATTCTTGGGGGAATAATTAGGCAGATAAAGACAGGCTATTTAGCACGGGTGGCACTCACTCAAGGGGACACAGGTGAGAACTCAGTACCCAAAGAGTGGTACAGTATTAGAATATTCATGTAATTGAACACATTACATACTATGTCATGCATGCATTATTTCCACATACATTTATTGCAACAAATTTGCTTGAAATAAATCTCAGATATAAAACAATGAACAGCAATTAACAATTAACAATACTTTTTAATAAAGTATTAAATATTGAAATAAAAACTAATCCTGTATTGTTTCTGTAGCTAAATATCCACAAGTTCAAATTCCTTGCTCGATTTGGGTTGATGCACATCGTGGCCACGAACCTGTGCGTGTGGGTGCGAACCCTTGTACGGGAGAGCCTGAAGGAAATCAACGAGTTCAGGGTAACACAAGGACACAAGGGAGAAGACTACATGATCCTTGGTGAGTGACAGCTTTTGCTCAAGTGGCATACAATAGAACTCATTGTGAACACAAAATTAATGACAAATTTGTTTAAGGTAAAGTACAGTCCTGTATATATTATTTTGTGATGAGCTGTGTGATTATTTCTCTTCCCGTCATGCTCAACTTCGTGGGCATTGTTTATTGCACTTGTTCTTGTGTACTTATGGCTTACTACATTAGTTATTTCATACATTGTGATTATAAGACATTCTGGCACTTATAACACACAAATGAAGATTACATTACAAACTCATTGTAGCAGTAGTGAAACTTCCTTGTGAATCTGTTAACATTTTTTCTTCTGTATAAACTTTCTTGTCATGTGAATATCTATAATTTTCAGGATATCAGTAAGCACCATATTACTTTACTCTGAGGAACTAAGTGAAAGCTAGCAACTTTTCTTTAGTTACTTCATTTTGACATCTGCTTCTATTGTTCATAAGTAGAATGCTTTGAGTAACCTAGCTCTCTTTTAGACTAACTGCCCTTCTGGTGTAGACTTTGACTCTCTCTCTCTTCTCACTGACAGAGGGTATTCGGCGCGCACTGGAAAATCGTGGCCTCATGGCCCCCAACAAGTACCTCTATAATCTGGACGATTTCGTTGAAATGCAGGAAATCAATGAAACCATGCAGCAGGGTATGTCCCTTGGGACTAGAGTGCACTCTTGTGAGCTTGAACCTGGGAAACCTAACTCTCAGGTTGATTTTTTGGCCCCAACACCCTAGTGCTTTGTGTATCCAATTTGGCCTCATTATCGTAGTACAGGAATGTTGTCATTGTTTATTTCGGATATTTTTGAATGAAGTATTATATACTTTACTAGTATCAATGGGAATGTAGTTGTTACCCATTAACCTTACAATGCAGCATTTCAACAGCTGTATTTTCCCCCTTGGTAATTACTTAAGCATCATGTGGTTTTTTGCATGGTAGGTCCTAACCCAAAATAAAGTGGACCAAATTTGTGAATATGTACAGATAGTATATATAACTATCACTCTAAATGCTCTTACTGTATTAGTAATTGTGCATGACTTCTTCTGCAACTATTTACAATTCTTTGATATGTTATGTTTATATGTCTTGCTGGTTTTCTTGTTTTTCATTTTTTATTATTATGTTTCCCCGTACTGAAGTGATATTGCAATTACATAGCATTATTCATCAAATGAAAATTGCTAAATTTGATGATTCTACAGCAACTGGTTGGGTGAATGAAGAGGACATTGTCAACCGTACTTGTGAGCGAGTGGAGATAATGGGTTCCATTGTGTCCGACTCTGCCCCATACCTGTACCCCTTCATCATTGAGTACTCTCTTATCGGCGCTGCAGTGCTCTATATAATGTGGAAACATATTGGTCGGAACCCAAGGTAATTATTTTTGTTTTAGCGTGCCTTTGTCATGAATGTTCATAGTGTGAATGTTATTAACATTTGTTGCAAGTAATCTTATGTTTGTGTGACTAAATATTTTTTAATATTAGGATAAACAATTTTGCTAAAGTTTAAACAATATACGCTTTTTTTTTTAATGTAACAGGAAGGATTTACCACAGAAAGAATCATACCAACAAGAAAGGTGAAGTATCATTTGTTAATAAAAGGTCATTTGAATATGCAGGAAATTTTATATTCATTTTTGTGATATATAACTCACAATTTGCCAATATAATATTTTTAATTATTGTATTTTTTACATTTGATAATTGTCAAATGTATATTTAAATGAAATGAGTAATTTTTTTTTTTAACAAAAGATTTTTTTGTTTTTCAAGGTTTGTTTATGACCCTGAAGTGGCAGGAGATGGCATGTCAGTCGTGTCGAGGCGCTGTCACTCCAGAGTGGATTGTGTCGGGGCCAGCAAGGGGCTCTTCTGTGGCCTTCTTGTCCTAGTGGCTTCACTGATATGTCTCATCCTCTTCTTCGTGCTAGTCAACCGAGAGGAGCTCAAGATGCTGGCCATATACCTGGCTGACTGCTCGCACTGCGGGATCATGTTCTTCAGTATAATTGCCATGTTCATTGGTTTTGTTAGGTCAGTATTCAAAAGAAAAAAATAGCCACTTTTTGACATGAAATAATACAAAAGTGGTCAATAAAAGTAACATTTAAGTTTAAGGACAACCACTTTATTAGTACAGTAGTATTTTCAAGCAAAAATTGGTGCTTTATTTAGTATGTATTTCAGTACTTATAATGAATTTTCAGTTATACATTATGGTTATATTTGTACCAAAGTAATTACAGCAGAGGTAACCATTCATAATCTGATGGTTATAAGCTGCTTGCCACATGTTAAAACACAATATTCAATCCATTCAGGATCCTTGGGAGCATTTATTTATACATACAGTATAGTCAAAATCTCGGCTGTTAGTGTAGCCAACTTTTGTGTGAAGCAGTAACAAAGATTATTAATATATTTTATATGGTCAATGTTTGGTTTTACATGGGAATTTGTAGTGATATGTGTACTGCTTGAATTGCCTAAACATGGTATGTAATGTAAAATCATCAGATTTGCAAGCATTTTTGGGTGTGTTAAGGCCATTGATTATATTTTCTATACGTATGTGTATGATTGTCTGCCTTGCCTATTATCCCCCAAGGATTTTTAATGTGGTGATCACATCTTCCCTGCTTTTTCTTTCTTCGTGACATGAGGCTTAATTACCTTAGTTTTACCTTAGCGTTAGGTTTCAGAGCTCCATTGTTAGTCCGATTTTTCGAGTGATAAGAGAAGGATACTAATGCATAAGACTAAGACTGCATTTGAGCATATAATTATCATTGGAGGCAATATAAGTGGCAAAAGGAGCCATAAGTCTGAAAGATTTTCCAGCGTGGTTGGTGAGAGCTTCAACCAAAAACATTGCCAGTATTTGCAGCTAAGTGAACTAGTGTGTAGTATTATCCAGACAAAATAATACACTAAACATGTTATTAATGCAATACCCATCATAGAAAAATAAATAAGTGATATACAGTATATATTTATTTTAACAGGTCCCAGTTGTTGGCCTCCACCTTCCCTTTGTTCCTCTTAGTCAGTCTGGTGTTGACAATGGCTTTGATCGGCCAAAATGTTCATCTCCCTTTCCTCATTTCTCTGTGGATTTTCCGCATACAAATGATCAGTGTTTCCTGATTGTCAATTGCGTGCATATATACTGACTGACTGACTGACTGTACAGTCAGTCATTTGTGGTCCAGTGGTTATGGTACTGGCTCTACTAGGTGTTTGGAGCACCTGGCTGTCTGAGGTTCGAACCCTTCACGAGGAAGAATTTTTCTGATATATATACTGTGTATATATATATGTGTGTGTGTATATATTATTTATATTATATACTGTAGACACTCGCTAATCCGGAATCCAACCATCCGGAAAACGCTTTTATTCGGCCAAAATTGTGGCCGGATAAAGTTATCTCACCATCTGGCCAAAATGTCCATGGGAGCCGGACCAGCGGTTGTTTGGCCGGATAAAAAATCTGAGCCAGTTAACTTGCTGCCAATGTTACACTATCCGGACAGTCAGCCGGACCAAGCGGTGACTTGTCCAAACCAGAAAGTCAGGCGGCGGGCCGTACCATATTAATCTCAAACGCCTGTGGCTCTAGGCGCATGGTGTAGAATGGGGTGGGTGGGTGGTGTCAGGAGAGAGGGGAGCGTTGGGAGGGACCGCCTGGGGGATAAGGGGAATGTGGAGGGGCCTATACACTACAGTACAGGAATTACCATTAATTTTAGAACAATTCATCACATTCAAAAACAAAAGAAATAATTATGTAATGACAAATATACAGGTTTCCTAAAAGCAATTTGCACAAGCTGAAGTTTGCTTAAAAAATATTGAGCTTTTTTCCGCCTGGCGGCCTATGTAAAGTGCCTGCCTGCCCCAACTGGACCCGTCCAGGCCTGGTCAAGCCAAACAGCCCATATGCTCCCGTCCCTCGTGTTATACCACGAGGGACTGCGCCATTAGTGAAATATTTTTTTTAATAACTTTTTTGTTTTCATAGTAACTTTGAACATTTTTGGCCAAGACTATGTCTGGTGGCAGCATCAATCGTTCTGGAGGTGTTAAGAGGAAGAAGATTACCCTAACAATTAAAGACAAGTTACATGTTATACAACTTTGTGCCTGGATTGGAAATATGCAAATGTTATCCCTATTTTCAACAAAGGGAGAAAGAGCTTGGCAGAAAACTACCGTCCGATCAGCTTGACATCACACATCTGCAAGCTCATGGAGAGAATCCTAAGGGAGGGAATCATACAACATCTCACAGAGAACAATCTTGTAAAATCAACGCAACATGGGTTTGTTAAAAATAGATCCTGCCTTACTAACCTGCTCACATTTCTGGAAACGGTAACCGGCTATTCAGACAAAGGACTTCCGGTAGATGTAGCTTACATGGACTTTGCTAAAGCTTTTGACAAGGTACCACATGAGAGACTGGCAAGGAAATTACAGGCACATGGAATAAATGGGAGAATACTGGAATGGATAAAACAATGGTTAAAACATAGAAAACAAAGGGTCGTGCTAAATGGGAATGAATCTGACTGGGGAAATGTGGTAAGTGGGGTGCCACAGGGGTCCATTTTGGGGCCAACCCTTTTTGTCATATACATCAATGACATAGATGAGAATATTACAAACCACATCATCAAATTTGCAGATGACACTAAGATCTATGGTAAAGTGGGAAGTGAAAATGATATTGAGACTTTACAAAGAGATCTACATGAACTCCACAAATGGTCAGAAGACTGGCAAATGCTTTTTAATGTCGATAAATGCAAGACCTTGCATGTGGGGCATAACAATCCACGTCACAACTACCAAATTAACAGCACTACCTTACAACAGATTGATGAAGAAAAGGACCTTGGAGTCAGAATCCATCATTCACTAAAAGTTGCACAACAAGTGGGAGCGCAGTAAAAAAAAAAAACCAAACCCTGGGAATAATCAAGCGTACCTTTACCTTCAAGGAAAAGAAAGTAGTCGTTCAATTGTATAAGTCTCTGGTGCGCCCCCACCTGGATTATTGCATCCAGGCATGGAGACCTCATCTTCAGAAAGACATAGCTGCTCTGGAGAAGGTGCAACACCGGGCAACAAAAATCATACCAGAGCTTAGTCATCTCTCGTATCAGGAACGGTTGAGGGCCACAGGGCTAACAACACTGCAAACCAGGCATGACAGGGCGGATCTCATCGAAACCTTTAAAATACTGAACAATTTGGAGGATGTTGATCCGGACAATTTCTTCAAAAGGTCAGATGTAACACGAACAAGGAGCAACGGGTTCAAGCTCAACAAGCCACAATGTAGGACAGAAAACAGGAGATGCTTTTTCACCCATAGGGTTGTAAACCCGTGGAACCGCCTACCCGCCGAAGCCGTAAACGCCAAAACTCTGCTGGGTTTTAAAATACAGCTGGAAAAGATCATCAGGGCAAATGGGGGGGGGGACCTTGACAAGCCACTGTTCCTCCCTTATCCTACATTGTTAACACACTTACATTCTTAATATACTCCTTTGCATACATTTTTCCTGGGGAGCTAAGTAAACTAATCCCACTATAATTCACTGACAACAACTGTTCTTCTCAGGGTTCGCCAGCTCAAGTTCCACGGAGAGCGAGAAGAGGAACTGGATGACATTCTTCTCATGGTTTCTGCATTTGGTCTCTTCGCATATGCTGTTTTCTCAACAGTTGCTGGGTCTCTCTCTGCATACACCAAAGAACCAAATTTACTTGTCATGGTTACTGGAATCCTTTCTGTGCTTCAGGTAAGATTTAAGTAACCCATCTAATGACTATTTTTTGACATGTAATTATTATGACTCCTCAACTAAATGACCTCAAAATAAATAGTGTATCTTTATAGGAAACAAGAGGGCATGCTGTAAACTGTGTAGATTATATTTAGTTTTGCATATTCATTACAAAAATTCAGCATGTTTTTGTAATGTTTCCATGAAAAGTGTACACCTGAAATATATCTTCATAAATATACAGTACATATAGAATTTATTTTATATATTAATTTATAGGCAAAAATTTAAAAAAAGAATGCAAAATTTATGTAAACTTGTCAATTTCATCTGTGATGAGTGTGTGTAGCCAGTAATGGTGGTGGTGGTGATGGCCAACCCACCTGCATGACTTCATACTCTTCTGCACACGATTGTGGAGATTTCTTTGTGAATCTCTTGATCTTTGATCGTGTAACTTTTAATAATACAATATTGTGTATTACTAAATGACAAAAATAATTGTTGAAGAAATTGTCTACAGTACCAAGCTTTATGAAATTCAAGGAAAATACATTATGCAGTTATTATATTTTTACTATAATTCAATATAAAGTATTGACCAGGAAAGATTTACTTGAACAAATTTGGCATTAAATGTAATGAAATAAGCTTTTCTGGGTTGCTTAAATAGCTCCCTGTACCTTTCTTTCTCATGGGGTGGGAGAGTTTGGTTGGCCAATTTATGAATAAGAGAGCTGCCTGCACCCTGGGCTGCCAACTGGTGGCAGGCAGCAACATTCACTGCTTGATTTTTTGACATGCATCTTAAAATGCATATTAAAAGTGCTGCTGCACCTAGGAGATTATGTATCCTCTCAGTTTAAATGTTGAATAGAGTGATGATAAAAATCTGGTGGTGGATTGTTGAACACATGAATAATGCCTTGGGAAATTCCTGTGGAACAACAAAAACCTTTTTTGCATGTCTGGGTGGCACTTACATTTCGTTAATACAGTATAGTACCTATTTTTTTAAATATTTAATATTCCCTCCTCATTCCTGCAAATAATAATTGGGATGTGCACTTATACAAGAATTACAAAAAAATTGTTTTTCTGTATAAACACAAGAAATGTGGTGTATAGCACATTTCTTGTGCTATACACAGGCCACTCTTGGGTGGCCTGACAGCTGAGGGGACAGCACTCGGGATTCGTAGTCCTAAGGTTCCGGGTCCAATCCCTGGTGAAGGCAGAAACAACTGGGCAGTTTCTTTTCCTGATGGCCCTGTTCACCTAGCAGTAAATAGGTACCTGGGTGTTAGACAGCTGCTACGGGCTGCTTCCTGGGGGTGTGTAACAAAAAGGAGGCCTGGTTGAGGACCGGGTCGTGGGGACGCTAAGCCCCCGAAATCATCTCAAGAGAACCTCCCCAACACACCGCTGATAATGTGGTAGACCCTAGAATTATCCAATAATCTGCTCCAAACCTATGTATCACTTGTATTCACGCTGAACCCACAGAATCTTGAGATTCACCCAAACTCTTCAAAACTGTACAGAAATAAAGATCCACATTACATTTTCTGATTACAAAATAAGAGATATGGTAATTGGAAAACACTTGCCAAAGGAATGTGTAAATGCAAGTAAAAGTGGGTCATGCTAGAAATGTAGAATTTAATTTAATTGAATCAACAAAACAGATATTGATAAGATTGGTTAGCTTTGGTGTTGAAGATAATTAGCCTCATCACCCATGGAAACATTTCCATAGTAAAGAATCTCAGTCTTTACTTGGTGAGCCACAGTTCATTTCATAATTCTGAAACCATAGCTGCTTCATTATATCTTTACTAATCTTAACCAAAGCTATCATTTCATTTTTGTTACGGATTGATCATTTTTGTTATAAACTAATTTAAAGTTTGCTTATTTTTGACAAAATTTTTACTTGGAATTTAAATTTAAGTAACATAAGATATAATAAGAGCCTATGTAAGACTAAACAAATGGAAAAGTACAGTATTTACGAGGTGAAAGCACTAGGCCAGTATGACTATATATACCACTTGGAAGGGAAATGACAAGGAAATAGGCCTAAATAAATTAAAATTATTTCTTGTTCCAGTTGCTGCAGCTTTATAATTGCATGATATTATAGATATCATGCAATTATATATAGACATCCTCTACTCATATATTGAATTTATTTTGTCCACAACAGGTGATAATTCAGATGGTGTTCATCAAGGACACGCAGCGGCGCCAGGTTTCCCTACCAGAACATGAACGAACTAAACCTGGTCGGCAGGTTGTTACGTTCTTGCTCATTTGTAACCTGACTATGTGGGTCATTTACACCTTTGAAACTCAGAAAGTGGAAGCAAATCCAGTTCAGGTTTGTATGGGGTTATCACCCATCATTTTCTTATAATTCAGTCTTAGGTATTTGTTGAGGGGCAGTAAAAAGGTAGGGCCCTCCAGCTTCCACATTGAAATTGTTTTCTTTGGTTATACTCGTGCAATTTTTGTTTTACTTCATTTTCAATCTCCATCTCTTCATTCCTCTTTCAATATGTTTTCCCAGTAAATATTGTTCTTTTGTATCTTAATGTTTCTTCCCTAATATTATTTCACTTTTGTGTACTTCGTGAGGCAAGCCCTCATTCTGTTTCCCTATGAAAATGGCACCAACTTCATTTTTACAAATCTTTTATATAACTTTGGGTGCCCATATTTTTTTTTTTTTTTTTTTGTAACCACTGGACTGCGCTGGCAGAGAAAACTTGGTCGGTGGAAAACTGCTCGAGCAGCTGACAAAACATCTTTTTAATATCCAGAATTGCTGAATTTTTTCCAGAATACCTGAATCTCTTCCAATGAGGGACCTTACAAAGCAATCGTTTCAAGACTACCTGACAAATTTATCTTTTCCTATAATCTTTTCAAGACTACCTTACGCTTCACAAACTTGGCTACATACTACCTATAGATACTAAAGCCAAGGGTATATGTGAGTGCGTTATTTGCAAGCACACAAAACGAAGAAACAGGAAACGAAAATCTATTTGTACCTGGTGCAACGAGAGCACAGCCGACCCTGTGCAACTGGAGAGCACAGCCGACCCTCCAGCAAGCAAATCCTGAATCCTCCATGTACTGTAGTTGTTTATAATGCTTGAAGGAATTGGAAATGCCCTTTCTGCATCGAGATTAACCCCTCTTAGATGGGAAGTTGCCAGAGGGTAAAAGGCACCAAAGATATAGATACAAAAACTAATTGGAATTTAATATCACATATTAATGTTGAAATACTATTCTAGGCAAGCACTGTTGCTTTGACAGTGATCCTGTAGAAAGTGACATGAAGCACAGGAGACTTTGTGATGCTGATGTATGAAACTTTCCAAATTAATTGTAAATAAGTTATTTATGATGTATACAAAGTTGTAATTTTACCTGTGCCATGTATAAACCATAATGTATATACAAAGTTGTGCATTTATACCAGGAACATTTATTTGAAAATATTTTTATACAAAACCTTAGCTTAAGAAACTTGTAATGGTTAATCAGTACAGATTGCACATACAGCTAAATGAAAGGCTGAGAGGGCTGGGTGAGTTTGGACCAATCTTTATAGTGTAAAACATTTAGCAACATTAATTACAAAATGCTGCATTTTAATAACTTTTTTTTTTATTTTTTTAGCTGGAGTTCTTTGGTGACCTCCCTTGGACAATTCTACTGAGATGCACCCTACCACTGGCTATCTTCCATCGCTTCCATTCCACTGTGGTCTTGGCTGCCATCTGGAAGAATTCATACAAGACCCGTATTGAATGAGGTTTACCAGGTAGGCCGCCGCCCACCACGACGGTCCACAGCATCAGTAGTTGCTTTATCCATACCAACGGAGTGGCCCGAGGGGTCCCTGACAACCCACCCCCGGAAATGGAACCTATGCTTCACACACCTACTAGTCCTCCACCAGCCTTGGACCAACGCTCTGAACATAAAGTTTCACTCTTCAGTATCATATAAACAGTTTTTTTTCTGTCTTATGATCTAGCAAGATCCTATTTAGAGTATTTACTCTAAACATATTGCAGTGAAATATTCATCAAACAGACAGGGTTTGCATATTCTCCAATTGTTCCACATCAAAATGTGCCATTTTCAATGGAAAATCACAAAAGTACAAGCAGCAATGATGCTATGGACAGTGTTATTTCTTAATATTGTATTAAATGTTTCTCATGAACGGTTTCCTGCATTTCAATGAAGGAAATTTAAATGTTTTTCATGTGAGGATTGCTATATTGGATTTCCAGTACTTCGTTTTTCAAATCAGTATTCCCAGTGTAACTGCGTGTGAAGGCTATCAGACTCTGTGTTGTAAGTTATGCCTCAATGCTGTAAATACTGTAGATGCTTACCCAAGCTTTAAGTCTGGCAAATGCTTTTTGTTATCTGCAGTAATAGTGTACAATAGTCTAAGTCGCATGGAGAACTCGCCTACCCTTTGCTCGTGGGTCCTGATCAGGCTTTTTTTTTTCCCCAGTATTGCAAATTATCTGCTGTTCAAATTTATCCTGTGCACGAGATAACATTTTACTTGCTTTTAGAGTAAAACTGCAATGAATTTGTTAAGAACAGGCAAAAAAATTCAGCTGGTCGAGATCCACCAAATAAATGTGTTCAGAATGAGTCTCCGGCAGCTACAAAGTCACAAATCCACCCTCCCTTCCCCCTTCCTTTTCCAATTTGTATATATAAGGCTCACTCCATGATGTGTTTATCCAGCAGCACTTCCTGATTATGTTTACCGTTAGACTTAGAACTCCTGTTGCTGTAGTTATGTGTTTGTATAACACAGTGGCTGCTTTTTGTAAATACCATATGGCTGTCTTGCTGTTTGACCAATCTCAGTATTTCTCCATAGTACATGATTGTATTTGTGCAAGGTGGAAAGTATTTCATTTGTCTTTTATATTGTGAGTGAAGATTGTGTAGTGTGATTAATTTCACACGCTGTAACTGATGAGACTTTGCTCAAGTACCTACCACAAGACTTCTCAAGAAGCACAAAGTACTGTACTGGAGCAAGTTTATCAGATATCTTATCCAGAACAATTTGTATGAAGTGTGTGTTAATTGTACCTGTCCTATATTAGGCAAGAGCTACCGAGAATAACCAAATGATTTGATTGGCAGTCGAGTTTATTAAAAAATATATCAAGGCTATAAGACAATAACGCATGCAAGCCCTATTTTCCAAAAAAATTTCATCAAAATATAGAATATATTTTTTGGCTCCCTTTTGTTTCTCTGTAGCTAGTAGCTTTAATAAATAAATCTTGGTGAATAAGTGAGTATTGACCATATAAGAACTTGTGTACCATTTGTGCATCTCACATTTTGGGGTTTGGAAACACGACAATAAGTAGGATGACCTTTAGCAAAAGTTTTACATGGATTTTGCATTTTTTGAATATGCGTATTTTGTATTCACGAGCAAGTCACAAACCGGACTGTTCTCGTATTGCAAGACTTGTAGCCATGACTCGTAGCTCTTTTGTGCGTGGCAAGCCTCTGTGAACTTCATCTGGAGCAAGTCTTCATGCCGTGTTATACAAGAAGTCTGGCCTGTTGAGCACTGCTGTGTGTCCAGTTCATCAGCAGTATTGGGTTTTGCATTACTATGAATAAATTTACACTGCCATATTTTATCTTTTCTGCATCATATTACCTGGTTGTGATAAGACACCCATGAGGACCATTTTTCCCACCAGGTTAATAGATGCTCAGAATTCTCATGAAATCATGATGAATTGTCTTGAGACACAGTGGACAGGCCACCTACTATGTTTACTGCATTAAATATAAATGTTCGTACCATAAAATGTTTTTTACTTATCCTTGGTATTTTAATTTACGTGGCCGAATAAAGTAGCAAGCCATTCAAAGATCAGAGAAATCTTTAATGATCTGTATGCAGTATGATCTGGAGCAGACTGCCTCTGAATCAGTGCCTGTACTGTGCCAAATTTCTTCACCCCATCTTGGCTTAATTATGTCGTATACAAATGTCCCTTGCCCCTCCCTATGATCAGGAACACTAACATTTGAAGGAAAAAAAATTTGTGCACCTGGGAGGTTGTCGGCTATTAAAACCTTAAACTGTGCATGGCATATATATACGACAGGACCTGATGGTACCACAAGTTCAAGTTCTCAAACGCTTGCCAATTTTTTTTTTTGCATAATCTACTAGCAAATCCTGCAACTTTGTGTAAATGATCATAAAACATAACTTGAAAAAATAAGAAAAAAAAGTGATAAAATTGAATATTGAAAACTTCAGATTTTCAAATCAACTGCAAAAATATAAAATATCACTAATTGTTCATTTGGTGTTATATTGCTTTCAGAATAGCATATGATCTTCATTTTCATAGATTTAGAATATAGGTTTTCAGTTCAGTTTACTGTAAAAAAAAAAAAAAATCGTCACTGTGGCATTTGAAATGTGCGCCAAATTTAGAAAACAAAAAATGTACAGCTCCAAACGTTTAGGGTTTATGAAAAATCCATTTTAATAGGATTGTAGAACAGACAGCTGTGTACAATGGCACACTGAATAAATGCCAAGTTATGGAGCTACAAGTTGAGGATGGGAGTCAAACGAAAGACACCAGAACTGAGGCGCAACCCAGTATGGTGCAAAGCATCAAGAAGGCGAAGAGTAGAAGGAGAAGCAGACGAGTAAGCAGGGCAACCATAATCGAGTTTAGACAGGACAAGAGAGGAATTTAGAGCGAGGAGTGCACGCCTATCTGCTCCCCAAGAAGTATGGGACAACACCTGAAGGAGGGTAAGGGCCTTAGAGCATTCAACTCAGAGGCAACAGATCTGGGGCGACCAAGACAAACGAGTGTCAAAAATCAACCCCAAAAGCTTAGCGGAATCCTTGTACACAATGGGGTGACCATAAAGCGACAAGGAAGGACGAAGAACGACACGCTTCCGAGTAAAAGTCCCAGCACAAGTCTTTGATGTAGAGAACCTAAAGCCATGATCGGTGGCCGCAAGTAAAAGCCGGTGTTGAAAGAGAGGCGAATCATCAGCCCAACAGCAAAGGGTAAGATCGTCGACAGAGAGCAGAGAAGATGCCAGAAGGAAGAGAGGACAGAAGACCATTGAGGGCAACCAGAAAGAGAGTAGTGCTCAGAACACTACCTTGGAGGGCACCTTCGTATTGCTGAAAAGAGGCAGAGAGAGCAGCACCAAGCTTCACTCGAAAGGAACGACGAGAGAGGAAGCTTTGGAGAAAGAGAGAGAGATTACCACGAAGGCCAAAAGAATGAAGTTGGGACAGAATATATCGTCAAGCAGTGTCATAAGCCTTTTCCTGGTCAAAAAGGATGGCAACAACGGAGGCCTTCGCAGCAAAAGCAGTACGAATATAGACCAAGTTCACCAGGACATCTCTTGTGCTGTGACACTTGCAGAAACCATTTTGAGAAGGGGAGAGGTGATGGTGTTCCAAGAACCACATTAGACGAACATTAACCATACATTCAGAGTTTGCAGACAACTCTTGAGGGCAATAGGGCGAAAGTCCTTAGGGGGATGTCCTCCAGAGACCCTGATTTTTGAACAGGGAGGAACAACGGCATCGAGCCAGTCCTCAGGGACTGACGACAACTCCCAGATCCGATTATATAGACTCAGTAAATACCGAGACGTGCACAGAGGGAGATGGCGAAGCATCTCAATGAATGCCATCGAAGCCTGCCGCCGTAGAACCGCAGAGGGCCAGGGCAGACCGAAGTTCAGAGAGAGAAGGGATCGTTATAGGGAAGTCAGAGATGAGTGCAGAAATCTAAAGGACGAGATTCAAGGACAGGTTTATGAAGGAAAGATCAAGGAAGCTGAGAACCAGAGCTAACAGAAGAAAGGTGGGAACTCAGTTCAGTAGCGACCTGCAATGGGTCCGCCACAAGATTACCACGGAGATGAAGGACCGGCGAGACATCGGGAACGAACTTACCCGCTATCTTGCGGACATGCTTCCAGATCTGCGGCAGAGGAGTTTCGGATGTAATGGTGGAGACATAAAAACATCCAACATTCATATTTAGCCGTACAGATGGCCCTACGGGCCACCGCACTCGCCTTTCGAAACAAAAGGATCGGCCGTTTGCCAGCAGTGGTCTCTCTTCCAGGCTGCACGCTTACAGCGGACAGCCCGAGCACAGTCTGCATTCCACCAGGAAAAACACTTCCGTGGTCCCCGAGAGGAAGAGCGAGGAATAGAGTTGAGGGCAGCGTCGAAGTCGATATCATGAAAAAGGAGAAGAGAGCGAGGGAGAGGCAGAAGAGAGAGGTCATACAGAGCAGCACTGAGGGGTAAATAGGTTCCAGTTTGCCTTAGCAAACTGCTGGGGAGGAGGAAGGAGAGGAGCCAGCCTTATGCTTCTGACTCAAAGAGACAGGCGTCCCAGCAACAACGTACTGGGCAACAGATTCTAGCATCTTGACAGGAGAAGTAGAACGAGAGCAAACACGATGACCGTTGGGAGAGCGATGGACATCAGCCCGAACCGACAGGCGGCATGGAGAGCTTAGAGACGGAGAAGGATGGGAAGGAGGATCGGAGACGAGGAAGAAGATACAGGAGACACGACAAACTGGGAACAAAGAAGGGGGAACCCCAGACAGAAGCAAGAGGGGGACAACCGTCTACCACCCTGTTTGCAAAAGTGAATTTTCTTATGTTTCTTTGGCATCTGTATTTAGCTAGTTTAAATCTATGACCTCTTGTCCTTAAAGTTCCAGGTCTCTAGAAATCTTCCCTATCGATTTTATAAATTCCTGTCACTATTTTGTACGTAGTGATCATATCACCTCTTTCTTCTGTCTTCTAGTTTTGGCAGGTGGTCACCAATGGGGCTTGGGGCTTGACCTAACCAGAGGGAGGGAGGGAAGCTGAGGGGAGTAGTCGGGAGGGTGAGGAGGAGGAGCAAGGTCGAGGCCTAATGCAGCAGGGTCTACAGAGCCCTGGTCGAGGACCGGGCCGCGGGGACACTAAAGCCCCGAAATTCTCTCAAGATACTAGGATAGGAGGATGTGAGAACTGTTACCTGTAATTAGGGATAGGATTATAGCTTGTGTAGTTAGTGCTAATTAGTTATGACATTAAGATAATGAGATAATGGAGCGAGTATAAGGATTACTCGCTACACATCACTTTCATCACTAGCACTTTCGAGCGCCCGGCGAACGAAAAAAAACTTGCCCCTTGTATGCATGGCGTTTTGGAGCAGCAACACTGAAAAATGTATACTCTTTTTCACTGTCCTGACCTTAATTTTCAATGTATGTATTTCATTTTTGTAGTAATGTGTTCGCAATAGAATGTTCTAGAAGAACATACGTATAAAATGTCACCAACGCATGAGTTAGACCAGCACCAAATAAAGAACTACGTCGATCGATCACTAGCCTGTGAGCACCAAGCAGCGACGAAATGTTTCTACTCTTTTCAAGGTTGTCAACTCCACACTTGTCCTACAGCATTAAATTTGGTATCACTGAAATCACAATAAAATTCTCTACGCGGACATATGCATATGGATGTAGAATCATGATCGCGGCCCACCCGCAAGAGTGTGGGAAGGGATACAAGACACTCCGTACATTGACAACATCGC